TCTGATTCTCTTAGCTCTCTATTGGCCCTGGAATGGCTTAACGTTAGTTCTCACCCTTTTCTCATCGATATTCAATACCGATTGGCCCACTTTTTGCTATCTTCTATTTCCATCCAGTTTTTCTGGATCCCTGGCCACGTCGGTATTCACGGGAACGAGCCCGCTTACACCACAGCTAAGTCCGTCTGCTCTGGTGCCATCACGGCTGTGCCTGTCCCATACATGGACTACGGTCCTGTCTTCAAGGTGCTTCTTCGTGCCAGTTGGCAGTCGACTTGGAGTGAGCAATGCCATAATAAGCTTTTCCAGATCAAACCTTCTGTTGGTCTTTGGCCGTCTTGCTTCCGTAAGGATCGGAAGGAGGAAGTAGTCCTGGCAAGGCTACACATTGGTCATAGTTTTTTAACCCATCGTTTTCTTTTATCAGGTATTGACCCACCGATGTGTAGCCATTGTGACACTCAAGTCACAATAGCCCACAATTTACTGTCGTGCCGTCGTTACGACCGTGAGCGGCGGCACCATTTTAGAGACATTTTATCTAAAAGTTTACCCCTGACTCTGGACAGTGTCATTGGTAATGGTGACACTGTCCGATTAGATTGTATTTTTAATTTTTTACACACTATAGGTATTTTTAATTCTATATAACTCTTTTATCAACATGCATTGGTTTTAACTCGCTGTATTTTTACATTTTACTTTAATTTACTTTCATTGTTTTTACTGGTTGTTTGCCGCAGATAGCCTTGCTGCTTTGCGCCATAAAGCACCAACCAACCACTATGTAGAGTAACATAAAAAAAGAAAAATGTAAATATTTCTTATGTTTTATCAAATAAATTAGATTTTTACTTTTATATAACATATAGTTGAATAGTTTAGAAATTGTGTAGGTTTTATTTTTAGATATTTATGCTCTCCCTATGAAGAGACATACTGAATTCCTTTTTAGTTAAAATAACATCTTGAAATGTCACCCTCATTTCTCATTATATATATGCCATAAGAACAGAGGTCATTTACACACAATACTCATAGAAACAAAATGCATTTTGTCTTACATTCTGACATAAACTTAAGTCTGGTTCTTAAATAGTATACCATGAAATATATAAGCACATTACTAGTATATTTGTATATGCAACTTTTAAAAATTGTACATTCAGACAGAAACGTATGCATGGCTCTTAGCTAGTATCATTGAGTATTATCAGACTACCATATTTGTTCATCTTAAATTGGCAACTCATCAAACATTACTAGTATCAGGGTGAAATGATTTTTCATGACTATACTGATTTCTTTGAGCTTGTTCCAGTGCTATGGCTTTGCTAAATGGGGACATTGGAAAACTTGTTAATTCATTCAAGCATGATACTGACTATATGACAAAGTATATGTAAAAAAAGAATATATAGATATATACATATGTAAAATATTTTTAAAAGTTTGTAGTTTCTTAGTCAAAACATCAGACTTGAACATTTTTGCATTACAATATTTAATAATTATTTAAAAAAAGTACATTATACTGATATTGAAAATGTCTTAAAGGATCTACTTTTAAAAAATGTTAAATATTGAGATACTTTTAACATTGTTATTAACTACTTCGCTGTACTTGATTTTGATAAAAATTCAATAAGTTTCAATCACCTTATTGTCTTAAATTAAAGTGGATGTCAGTTTTTTGTTGTTAGCCACTTGTTTTTCAGACCATACAATTTTCTGAGTGTAATGCTTCAAGTCTGTGTCACAATCACCTACAAGTAGTCAAGATGTGTAACAAACTCTAGCGTAATACTGAACTTGTATATCATACTAATGTTCCTTCTTTAACAATGTTTATATAAACTGCATTGTTTTGCAGAGAACGTTCTAAAGTCTACTGACCACAATGGTTTTCCTGTGGTTGTCTCCCAAGAATCTCAGTATTTGGTGGGTTTTGTACTAAGAAAGGATCTTACATTAGCATTGGGTGAGAAATATTCATATAATTTCTTTATTTTTTGGACAAACTAAAAATCTGAATATAAAACATAACTGGCTCATCTATTCTCATGTGACAAAATCAGTAAAAGTTGTATAAAACAAAGCTTTAGAAAAATGTGTTGCAAACTTTTTTGAATTAGGTATTATTAGCTTTAGTCTTAATTTTTTTATTTCTCGGCTAATTTTGTTTATATTTGGGTGAACAGCATTACAATAGAAAAATAAATCAACTTTAAAAACATCCAGGAGACCTTCTCTCAATGGGGATACATTTGGGATTATACCAAACTTGTCTCATGACCTTTTGTGATATTATATGGAGTTTTAGAATAATGTTTTTGTGATCGCCTTACCCTAAATTGTAAAGTACAAATAGCTTTAAATAATATCTATTTGTATATACTTCAACCACATTGTAAAAGAAATTGGAAATCATTCAAGCTTAAATTTAGAACTATTTTGCTTTAGGAGTTTAAAATTCTGATAAACAGCTATTATTCTTTGAAATGTTGGTTTCTCTGTCTTTCTATAATCCTATTTATTTATGTATAACTAAACCTTAAAGTCACTGTGTATAATGGTTCTTGAAATATTCCTTTTTTTTTATCTGTGCTAATGAATATTCATTTTCAAATTGACTAATATTTTTAAAAGTTTAAAAGATTTTTGTAAGAACATGCCATGTGTCAACTTAATCTCTAATGTTTCATTCTTTTAATGTTTTCAGGTAATGCCAAAAAGACACAGGAAGGAGTAGTTGGAGAGTCTTATGTGTTGTTTACTTCTCACTTACCTCAACCTGTGTCAGGTCCTACTGCTGTGAAACTTCGAAAAATCTTGGATATGGTGAGGTCTTTTTACACATGTTCATAAACTGGACTTCTTAAAAAGATTTTAGTTAGAAATAACTAATATTTTAAAAATATCAAATTGGAGTAATTCAATTTCCTCTAATATATAGATAGATAGATTTATTAAATTGATTGATAGATACAAGTACCATGAACAAAAGTGTGAAACAATACATCTAAAAATTATACTAATTGTCAGAGAAGTATAAGGTCCTCAGAAATTAGTGTCGCGTTTTGGAACACTTTCATTCCCCCCCCCCCCTCAAAAAGCATACATCTTGTATAATAGTTAAACGAACTACCTAAACGTCATGTTAGTGTAGCCTATATAATGTGTAAAGTTTAGTATACTCTAATCCCTAATAGTGATGGCACACGATGAGACACACAATTGGCACGTAATGCTGTTTGAATACAAGGAGGGAAACAACCCCTCTCTAGCCACAAAGAATATCAAAGAAGTTTATGGAATATGGGAAAACTCCATAAAGAAGATTTTGGGTGCCTCATGAACTCTCCGATGACCATTGTTTCCAACGTATGAATGTTACTTTGTCTCTTCTGGCACGTAATGCGCATGAACCGTTTTTCGACAGAATTGCCACCAGTGATGAAAAATGGATTCTCTGTGCAAATATTAAACACCAAAAACAATGGCTGAGTCCTAGACAAAAACCACTTCCGACCCCAAAACCTAGACTCCATCCCCAGAAAGTGATGCTTTGCATTTGGTGGGACATCAAAGGAGTAATTCATTTCAAACTCCTCAATCCACAGCGAACTGTCAATGCAGAGATCTGTAGTCAGCAACTGGAACGTTTAAATCAAGCCCTTCATCAGAAATGCCCTTCACTCGTCAATCGGAAAGGTGTTCTTCTTCTCCACGGCAATGCACGTCCACACGTGGCACGTTTGACGCAACACAAGATTATGGAGTTGGGTTGGGAAGTTCTCCCCCACCCACCATATTATCCAGATATGGCACCATCAGATTACCATCTTTTTCGTTCGTTGCAACACCGTCTTAATGGGAAAACGTATGCAAATGTGGAAGGTGTTAAAGGGGACATCGACATGTTTTTTTTTTTTTTGCTTCA